TGGTACTGCCTTTCTGTCCATTACTACCCACCAGCAGCTCCAGAATTTGCAGGCTCTGTGCAGCCCCTGCTGCCACTGCTGCTCAGCACCCTCCAACATTACTGCTGGAGATAGGACATTGTCCCAGGTGAGGTAATATGCTAAAGATTCCTTTTCTGTTTACATGGAAGTAAAATTAAACTCTAACAGAATGCATTTATCCTCTCTTTCTTGCCTTTTCATCCGCTATTTGCCTGTGCCAGTCTTGTGCAACACAGTAAAGCAAAAGAGATCAATACCCAAGCATAGAAAACTGACACTAAAGCAAAAGAAACTGATAGGTTTTTTTTACTCTCCTTTTCAGTTTTTTACATTTTTTCTTCTCATCTTCCATAATCTTTAGGGAGCTGGAGAACACCATACAGCCCCGTGAGCTATTGGGTCCCGCGCTCCCCTTCCTGCCTCGACAGAACCATTGCAAAACTCCGCGTTGCTCCCAGCCTTCGTTAGCAGGGGCAGCCTGGAGCGGCTGAGGGGTAGGCACACATTCCTTTCAGCTGACTTGGCTCCTGCCGTGGCACGGCAGGCGCTGGAAGCAGGAAAGACAGCCCGGCACCAGCTCGCTGCTCCCGGGATCCTGCAGCAACTGCGGTGCGAAGCGGCCACCCGCTCCTCAAACAGGGAGAAGCCGCGGCCAACTCCGCGGCCTCCTTGTAGCTCTGATCCACCCGGCATCCCGCGCCCTCCACAACATCCCCGAGCGGATTAATGTGCCGTGCAGCTGGGATGAGAGCGGGAGACAGGAGCTGGGAGCAGGCGAAAGCTTTTCTGGTTGCTTGTGTTCACCCTCGGATCGTCACCGCTCCGATTGCAGAGAGTTGCCTGGCCTGCTGTGTTGCTCGTGCTCTTTTGTCATCTGTTAGCATGGCCCTAGACTGCTCGGATCTTGCCACGAAGAAAATCTCCTGAGAAACCCTGCCAGTAGCCCTTTTTTTTTTCCCATTTCAGGCTGCTGTTGCAGCTTGATTTGGCAAGAAAAAAGCCAGTTTTGCTCCTCTGACAACAGACTGGTCATTCATACCCATTGCAAGAGTTGTAAGGTATCAAGGCTGAGATTTCCCCCTTTACTTTCAGGGAAATATCTATTTTAAACTCTTCTGTAAGCCAGTGTTTTTGCAGAAGAAAGAAAGAGGGCTCGAGGCTAAACTTGATCCTTGCAGTCTGCATATTTCAATACTGGAAGGCTGTGACTCAGTGGCCTCTGGAAGCTCTCCAAGCTATGAGTAGTTTGAAGGGGGAATTAAAAACTCAACGAGCTGCCTGTTTTCCTGAAACTTGTTTTGTACACGCCATGGAAGAGATGAGAGGTTTGAAAGGAGCAGGTCTTGTCCAAGAATCATTGGCTATAACAAGTCACAGCAAGCCATGAATATTTATTTTACTAAAACACTTAGACATCTTTTAAGGAGCCTTTTGACCAATTATATGCGCAAGAATTTGCCAAAATGCCATGTACACTCATGGCCGCTGAGGCTTCCCCACTCAGGCTTCTATCCATGACATTCTCTGTGTAGAGAAGTCAGACTTGGAATATCGTTTCCCGCCCCCCCCCAAAAAAAAGAACAGGGGACTCAATAGTATTCCCAGTGTTTCCAGCATTGAAAAGAGCTATGTCAAGCATATGAAATCAGTCTTGGGGTTGGCTGAGAGGGGTCTCCCCATGGTGAGTCTAACCATGACTGCTTGAGACCCAGAACTGAGCCAAGGTCTCCTGTTCATCAGAGTGTAGGGAAGAAGGTGCCTCCTTTCGCCATGTCCCTGCTTCTAGACAAGGCTGATCTTTGCTCCCATCCCAAATCCGTGTCAAGTGGACATCCCTGTCCATCCCTCGTGGTGGAGGCTTACTTTCAGTTTCCATTGTACCTCACTAGTTCATTCTGGAGTGATCAGGACAGAAGACTTACCAGAGAAAGAGATTCTGGTTGCCTTTCAGAGCCCTGGAATTCATCTTCTCGAAGGAGTTGTCCAGCTGGAGGAGCCCTATACTTCACCAATGCAACAGAAGGAAAGATTTCTATCCAGTTTGTTACATAAATTCCAGAACTGGTCAGAAAAGGTTCAGCTAGTTCTTTCTTTATGGATTTGTTTTGGTCAGAAAATGTTCATTTGTTGGAACTAAAATAATTTTCTAGGAATGTGCTAGTTGAAACAACGTTTTTGTCAGAAAAGGTCTTCCAGTTCCAAAGGAGGAAATTTCTAGTTAATGGAACAAGAGGGAATCACTTAATTTAACTACTAGTTTGGTGAGTTCAGGCACTCAGCTGAAAAGCAGCAGAACCCAGGTCATGCCCTTGTTCCAGCAAATGCCTTCTGTCCATTCAAAGTTGAACAGTCCCAAGGGAAAAGACCCACACAAAGATGTGCTGGATCCTCATAGCGGCTTGGGACCGGAAACTCAGTGAACCCGAAAATCACATATTTTAGGCACATTTCGTGAACGTTTCTTGTTGGCCGTCCTGTCCTCATGCACTCATGTTATTTTATTATATTGCTGGCAAGATTTTAAGACTCTACAGAACAGAACGAGGCAATTGCAGAACAACTAAGGCTGGAGGTACTGGAGGCACCCTGGTCCGAGCCCAGCTCCAGCAGGGCCAACGTTGCAGCTACAGCGGGTTGCTCCGGTCGGAGTCCCTGCAAGTCTGGGCAATGCCCAAGGATGGAGAACCCTCTTTGCTCAGGGGCCTGCCCCGGGGATGCCCTGGGGAAGGGATTTTGTGCATTGCATCTTGTGCCCATTGCCTCCTGCTCTTCTCTCAGAGTCTGACTCCATCTAGGCAGGTTTTTAAGATGTCCAAGAGTTTCTCGGGCTGTAGAAAGCCACGCTGCAGGGCAAGAAGAAGTTCTGAATTACCAAGCTAACCTGCCTTTGCTTCTGCTTCCCAGTAGCCCTTCATACAAGGTGAAGTATTGGTTTCATATCTAGCATTTCAAGTATGTAAATGCTGTTGGATGGCAAATATATGACCAATCAAAATTACAGAGCGAGCACATGATTTTCACGGTACCTTTTTTTTTTTTTTTTGTCCCTTACTGCAGTGATAATTTTTGTCTTGTGGTCGCTTCACGTTCAGGCCTTCCATATGTCTGTGCTGCAGAAGTTGTTGGGTTAAGGGTGCTGGAGATAATATGACAACTCAGTATTTCATTTGTCCATGAAAGAATGCTTCCTTCACGCCCCTCAGGCTACAAGGCTCTAGGATGAATGTGTCTGGGAAACTATTTGTGAGACCTTGTTGGGTGGCAGAAGCGCTCCCTGCTTCCCGCTGGGCACTGACACACATGAAGCTCTTTGCACCCCGTGCAAATCATCTCGAGCTCCAGGCGCTAACGGGTCCCGCAGCACCGCTCCTTTGTGCAGCTGGCCACAAGCTTGGTCCCTTCCTCCTGGTTCCTGGTGAGCTTTCAGCATCCCTGTCCTCACGAGCAGGCTCCCCACTCCCGTGACCCGCTGCAGACCTGGCGGAGCAAGGGCAGAAGGAAGAGCTGGAGCTGGAGGAGAGCAGAGCGTAAGGAGGGGGCGCAGTACGGAAGCACGAGTGGGTGTGTTGGAGGAAAGCGAAAGAGGTGGGGAGGAAATCCCAGCTGGAAGCCTTGCCACACGTCTTCTTCACGCACGTATAAATTGTGCGCTCATACAGGCACTTAAGCAAATCTGCTGCAATGCCCGAGCTCCCATTTGGCGTTCGCAGACAGGTTCGGAAGGCCTTCAGATGTCCATGACAGCAACAGGAGCTCCTAGCCCTTCACGATCGATTCCCGCAAGCAGCAGGGATTTGCTGTTCCCAGTGGTAACAAGCCTCCCGAATGCATCCCTAGCCTTCGGAGAGCCTCTCCTCCTCAAGCACCATGCACGCAAGATCTTGTGGTTTGGCAATGGTGTCTGTGCCTCTCTGACTTGCCCGTGATTGCAGGGGCACTAATTATTTTTATATGTAGACCTGGCTGGAAAATAATAAAAAAATCCTTACAACACAGTTTTCTTTGTTTCTGTTGTTCTGTTTTGCCAGTTTGCCAAAATTCCAGTGTTGTGTTGGGTTTTCTGGGGTTAGCTCTTCTGAACCCAGGCCTGCCCTCCTTCCTGTAGAGACTGTGCAAATATCTGAAAGAGGGGAAAAGGGGGAAATTCCCAACTCAGAACAACAGCTGAGTAAGAAATAACAAAATCCACCCCTGATGATAAACTACAGAATGGTTTTTCTTCCTCGATTCTTCCCAGCATTGTGTGTGAGCAGATCCCTTTCGTAGCTATAACTTGCCACATATCCCAGTCATTGCCATCCTGAGGACTTGCAGTCATACTCTTTGTCTTTGCATCTGTCTGTGCTCCTGTCCCTCCTCTTCTTCATTGCCACCCTGCTGCCTTTTAAACCTTATTGCTGATTTTGGCCCCGTTGGAGAAAGGAAGATCTTCCAACAACATCTTCCAGTGAGATGTGCTTGCTCCTAATTTTGTGGAATCTGTGTCTGACAGGAAGACTGTAGGATGGACCCGACAGGCATGGGCTCCCTATGGCCTGCTGGCTAGTTTGCACATACAGGTAGTCCAGCAGTATACTCACATCTGTACTACTTTTGCCAGCTGCTTGTTATAGGCTATCAGAGGGCCTTGAAGGCTCAGTAGGAGATATATGTGGATCTAGGGTTCTTGTATTAGGAAATCCATCACAAATGATGTAAAAAGCCTGGATTTCTTCACTGGACTTCTCTTAAGCAGTTTGTATCCATTGAATCATAGAATCATTATGGTTGGAAAAGACCTTCAAGAGTCCAACCGTAAACCCAGCACCACCATGCCTAAGTGTTGTTATTCTTCATGTTGTTTCCAGCTGGAAGAGCAAGGGTGGTGCTGCAGATACTTACACTTTTCTTCTTATTGATTCGCAGGCTAAGTGTCAGCATCAAAGGAAGGCAAATGTTAATGAGTGATCCTTCAAAGGCATTTCTCTTCTTGCTTTCAGAGACTCCTGAAGTTGGACCATCCATCATTGTTCACACCACTGTGACATTTGGGCATGATCATCTGGACTCGGATCCCGCAGAGGTGCAGCAGTTAATTCTCAGTCACCTGGAGAGCCTTGTGCCATCTCTGCCTGAAGCAGCCAGTGTCAAATGTCAGAAATGGAGATATTCCCAGGTAATCCAGGATGGGATCGGTCAGCTGAGAGACACTGCCTGGATAACACTATGGTGTATGGACACCCAAATATGTAGGATGTCTCACAAGAAACAGGCCCTCATACAGCCCAGTGGTCTTTATCCTCAGAGAAATAGAAGAAAAGGGGGAGTTATTCAATATCTATGATACATTCACCCATATAACCATGAGCAACATCCAAAACCAGCCAACTACAGCAAGGTCATTTCTTGTAATCTTCGTAGATGGAGGACCTGGCTCAGCGGTAAGTTATGCAGTGCCCCTTATAAGTAGGAACAGCAGCAGCATACAGGAAGGAAGGAAATCCCATGTTCTTCAGTGGGATTTTTGTTGGTATTTAAAAATATGACTCAATGTGTCTCTTCTGCATCCGAAAGTATGCGATATTATTAGCAAAATTCCCACCCTACCACAGAGTAGCAGAGTGCTTGTGTTCAGACAGACCAATTGTTGTTATTTGATTTCGCCAAGTTCAATTTAACAGTATGTTACGTGAAAAATATTTTAAAGTAAACTACCTAAGGTTAATAATAGCAAAATGTGTATATTTTACTGAGTTTTCTTAAAAATCCGAGGAAATTATTGGCAATTTCCTAAAGTACTGGAGTATAGCTACATGTTTACCCAAAGCCTCTTAAGCTGAATTACATTGGTGAAATTGAATGTGGAAGCTGATGCAAAATATTTACTTAAAGCAGTCCCCTTTAAATTTTTTTCCTTTTATGAAGTCTGGAAAAGTTATTGTAGGTGGCTGCTTGTAAAGTTTACTCATACCCATTGATCTGCATCCAATTTAAGAACTGGGTCTTGCTAGCACAATGTTTATTTTACCATGAATTAGATACTGATAGCTTGCAAATCACTTCTCAATGCATAATAGTTGTAATTGGTTGTCGTATAAAAATAATCTCGACATGTTTTAAGTGCCTCGAAAATGAAAATGATGGGGTGTTTTATATATTCCTCTCTTTCAGTTTGGTGGTTCTTTTTGTTGGTAACGATATCCCCTGGTAGAACAGTCACTGTTAATTCTTCCTTTTCTTATACCAACTTCTTTTCTGCCTTGTGTATCGCCTTTCTACTTCAAACTGCGAGTGAGCACGAGAGGTGCAGGTGGCCTGGAGCCTAAGAATTTGATCCATCCGTGGGCAGACACTGAGTTAACCAGCTCCCAAAACAGTGAGGAATATTTTTTAACCAAATTAATGCACCCTGGGTGCTGCTGCTACCGCAGAGCTCTGACATAAAAGCTGGCTACTTTGTTCACTGCTGCTAGCAATAATATGCCCTTTCCTTGCACTATGCATAGTTTCAGCATCGTGATAAAAGTGACATATAAGCACATCCTTTTCTGATTTATTTCACCGGGAAAACATGGATAAGGAAAAGACAAGGAAGTTAATTTTTTACTATCGAATAAAAAACATCTCGTTTGCAGTCTACCAAACAGTTACAGTTTTGGAATCCTAGCAAAATCAGTTTCTCTTGAGGGCCAGGTGAGATTTATTGTAGTTACACCTATCGATATGTCTTTTAAAGGCAGTTGGAACAGTGACTATAGGAATGAACTTAATTTTCCATAATTGTTTCACATTTTTAATCTCTCTAAATCATTCGGGATATGTCCTATTTCCCCTACTGAAAAAAAATACATTCATGCGTAATACTCCTAAATGATGCTGTTATTTTCCCTAACACCAAAGCACCGTGCAATTTGCACCTCTTCCCTCTTCCCTGTCCTGTCGCTCTTCCCTGCGTTGCTGCTGCTAAATAAAATAACTGATTTCAGCAGCTGCTTGTGCTTTATGGCATTGTCAGAGGAAGAATTATCACCAGTCTTTAACTCAGCGATGAGTGTGGCTAAGTTTTAGGTTGCAGGGGAATTGGTGTAGGTCAGATCAGTGATCCCAATAAGGAGATTTCTTTGGCCAGGTGGGCATCGTATAAAATAATCACTAGCTAAATTAAATATCTGGGACAGAGCTCCCTCTTCCCCTTAAAGCCATCTTTACTTTCAATTACAATAAGCTGTTGCCACAGAAGCAAAGGGAACTGATAAGATAGATGCATCTTTCCCCTGACTCCTCTAGACGGGATTTATCCTGCTTGTTAATTAAATCCGTCTGCAACGTCTTTCCTATGGCCAAACACAATCCCGGGATTAAAATGCAGACATTACAATTATCCGTGGCGGATGAGGGATTAGGACTTCCAAACTTCTACTGACACTACTTAGTAGCACAGCTGTGGTTCTGTATCCCCTGCTTTAATTAAGATAAGACACTATTAGCATCCAGAGTCAGCAGCTTCCCAGCCTATCATGCCACTTTGACAGAGATTTACATGTGGGGAAGGGAGGTTGGGAAAACACAGCATTAGAGAAACACTGGTGGAAAGGGACCTCTTCAGATGTCTAGTCCAAGCCACTTGATCAAAGCAGAGCTATTGCCAACACTCTGTGAGCTCCACCTTTATCTAGCTGAAATCTTCCAAGGATGGAGATCCAACAGGCTGTGCCCTGTAGCTAAGGGTTATTTGGGCTGTATTTTGGACCACATCGTTAAAAGAATAGGAAAGAGGAACAGCATAATGCTTGTCACCAGTACGCAGAACAAAGACCTTGACTATGTAGTACACACTTCATTGCCAAAGAGGTAGAATGATGCAGGCCAAGGTGTGAAGGTATTGCTCTTGGGATCAGGAGAACAAATCAGAAACTTTTGTACGGTGAGTGTAAAATAAGCTTAAGGTACTCAAGAATGAAGGGCATCCTTGCCTCATTCTACTAAACCTTTCTTCATCTTTTATGCCTAGTGACCTCAATCTATTTGAAAAAAAAATGAGGAAGAAATGAACTGCTGACCTAAAATGAGCCAGAGAAACAAGATCTCTGCCAGGTTTTACAGAAAGTTGCTAGACTGTTCTATTAAAAAAAGGTGGAGAATTGGTCACAAATTCATTTCAGATGATTGCCTCCATTAAAGAAGATGATAACATGCTGGTAATATAAAATATAGTCAGTAATATGAATGTAGATGTTTTACAGCTGATCTGTACTTGGAAATGCCAAATAATGGCATGGCAGCAGCCAAGAAAATTATATTTAAAATGAATACAGTGCGTACTTGGAGATTGAAATCAAATATTCATCAAGGCAGCCTTAACCAGGCCTTGTCCACATGCTATCTATAGATAGAAAGTGTTGACTGTATCTCTGGCAGTGTCTAAAAGACTGTTCTGCAGGTCAAATAGAAAAGGAAGCCAATGCGATAGGGCTGGAGACAGGATGGGTTGTACAAAGGGTATGACCAGGAGTAAAATGAAAAGCCAGTGGGTTTTTCTGTTGCAGTGCAGTGGTGGCACTTGTAGGACCACAAGAACCAGCTCAGCTGTTTATGATCCCTCCCTTGGCAGGATTTCTACCACAGTAGTGTTGGTGCATGATTCCCCTGCCCACTTTTATGAGTTTAGAGACAGGGCTTGATTTGTTTGGATTAAATATCTTTGTCTTCCTTCTACGGTTCAATCATCATTTATTGAAGTGCTTTATAAATATTTACACATTTCCCACAGCTGTATTCTCAGATGATGAAGGTGAGCAAGGCCTCAGCTAGTTCAACTTGAAAGAAAGCACATAAAGCCAAAACCTATGGAAAGAGGGTAGCTGAACACTTCAGGATTTCTGTTTACTTAGAGTGTGCTAATAACAGGTCAGGCCGTGAGCTTTGTGGGTCATGATCTTGACCAAGAGTGGAATGAATATTTTAATGTCTGAGGTAACCATCAAAAGTTTTAAAAAAAGGTACAAATATTTCTTTGATGCAATAGCTTTCTTGGCATTTGGTATATTTTCAAGTCCCATTTCACAGAGTTTAGCACATAGAACGCTGAATTTTGACACATTACATGGTAGGGGAAAGGGGTGAAACCAGAGAAATCATTTTCATTCAGTGCTTCTTGGGTTGCATCCCAAGTCATGAACTGCACCTGCCAAGGGAGGACCTCAGACCTGTCAGAGTGAGGGAAAAAACACTTGTGTACTTGAAACATGGCACTGAAGAGGCTATTCACTGTAGCCTATATGTAATGGAAGCAGAGAACATGTCTGTTGATCTGCCAAAGTTTCTGTGATATTGCCCAGTATCATTAATACCAAATTGGTGTTTCTGGTATCACAGATATCTTTGGAAACCTGAAGTGTTGACTCTATTAGGGGCTTTTATTTTGTCTCTGCCCTCTAGCGTGTGCAATTCTGCTTCTCAGGGAAGTATCTAAGAGCTCATGCAAGTTCACTTTTGCCAATCAGAGGTCATCTGTCTTCAAAACCCTGGACTCAAATTATGTAAGACTGGACTATCTTCCTTTCTACAGAAACCATCTGGGAATAAGACCTGGGTAGGACTAGAAAGTTTCTAACTTTTCATCTGCAGGACGATTATATTCTAATGATTTCAACTTGATGGATAAAGAGTTGACTATGGTCTTTTGATCAGTAATGCTAGAACCTAAGATCTGGGTTGGAGGGTGCTTCATACGCAGGCATGTCTGTCAGTGAAACAGTTTTTTTTCTGGCATGAAATTCAGCTAAATGCTTACTTTTTCTTCTTCCTGTATGCTTTTCTTTTTCAGGTTACAAAGGCTGTACCCAGTTCTCCAGGGCACATGATTCTTCATACTCAACCTCTCCTAATTTGTGGGGGTGATGGATTTACTCATTCCAACTTCGATGGCTGTATAGATTCTGCCCTGAGTCTTGCGGAAGCTGTCAAGCCTCATTTATAGCAATTTCAGTGTCATCTGCTACATATACTCTGGATTATGATGAATTTTACAATTCTAGTTCAGTGTTACCATCACTGGCTTCTATTTTGCAAAAATGAATAAAGGAAGATCTATTGAGGTATTACAATAATTACTGGGGTGGAATTGAACTGAATTGAATTTTCTATAATTTGTGGAGTGAGTGGTTACTTTGCTGGAAAGAAACCTTTTTTGAAAGCTTTCTTCTTACTCATGGCACTCACTAACTTCATCAAGTATTACAAGCTGTGAGGGATACTGGATGCTTCTTAAAAAAGCACCGTTCCCTCCCTAGTTGCCTCTTCAATTGTTCGCATCCATTTACTGACCAGTAAACACTTAATCCTTGATCTTTGCCCAGAGCTTTCAGTCACATCAGCAGTTCTGACTCCACTAGTTATAGTGAGTCTAAGTCCGTATGAGAAATACTGATGGCCAGGTCCAGCCTTTGGCACTTCCATCTGGGCCATGGTTGTCACAACCACTGAGCTCCAGGAGTCTTGCTGGATCTGCTGATGTTGTTACAGCCTGTGAAAATGATATCAAGGAAAACAGCCTGACTTGAAGAAGCACAAAACCCTTGGAACTCTACTCAGAATTTAGGGTATTTATAAGCTACTAAACTGTATTTCTATGGAGTCCGTTTTTAAATTGGTCAGAAATTAACCAAGAAATCATATATGGATTCTAAAGTTAATTTTAATTTGCTCTTCCTTTTTAATTGTCAGTAGCATGTTTAGCACCTCTGAGTACCTCTCTGTAGCACAGCACTGGAAATAACACAACCTTATTTTCAGCAGACAAAATTTTAGCCATGTATCCTTTAAATAGATGTGATTCAGGCTGCTTCCTAAGCCCCTGCATTTCACAAAGTTCTGATGTGCGATATTCACAGTAACCCAATGGCATCATTTACCGCTTTATGTGACTATTTCTAGTGCAGTATTTTAAGTGCCACTAAAAACTTCAGAGCTTAAGTACGATTTAAAACTATCTTTGAAGGATATTTTATGATGCTGTCTGATTTTATTCACTTTTTGTTCTTTCTCTCAAGTGCTTGTGTTTAAAACTAAATGCGATGGTCCACCCCAAATCCTTTGGCTTCATTCACTGCCTGTCATCTAGGGATGGGAAAAGGTGGTGGGCCTTGCTCCTTTGACAGCCTGGCAAATAGGAGCCTTCCATGTCAAAGAGCAGTGATGCTTCAACTGTGGTAGAGTTTTCTTCTGTCAATCAGCAGAAGACTTGAATACCACAAATGACATTCAAATAAGAGTAAAGGCCTCTGACCCCATCCTTCCAGAAGTCTTACAGCTTTGGTTGGCTTTAGATCTCAATATATCTGATAATGAAGAAAGCACAGATTTAGAGATTTTGAGGCCAGAATCTTGATCAAACTTAAGTCATGATGACTCTCAAAGGCTGATTTTTCCCCTCATTCCCCATTTCAAAATGCCTCTTTCCTACAGCTTCCTTCCAGACTGATTTAAACAAGAACTACTATTCATATTTCCTTTATAGTGTATCTTAGTCAATAAGCAAGAGAAGAATTATTAGCTGCAGCAGTCAAATGAAGAAAAATGTTAACTAAAATTCAATAATTGGAAGCAACTGCAAATCCTGTAATAAGACTTCAGTAGGAAATTATATCCTTGCTTAGTTGTCAGTGTCCTACTTTTTATCAGTTAAACTTGCGCTGATGGGAGCCTGTCTGGTAAAGATGTCCTGGAGGGGGAGGACAGGTTGGGGTCACATCTCTGGTTACCAAGCTCCCTTTTCTCCATTTTGTCTATGGATAGATCCCAGGGGCTTCAGCCCATCCATGTTCAAACTCGCGTGGCTGATTTCATAAGTGTTTGCCCAGATAGATGTAATTTTTGATTAACTGGCAGATACATCAATTAAAACCCAGATCTCCTTGTTCTGCGACAAGGGTGATTGCTGTGTCTTGTGTCCTATATGCCACAAGCTATAGCTAACACCCAGATAAGTTATATTAAATTAAAGCATTTCGGCTCTTGAGTGTCTACATTAGTGTCTTCCTTGTCACAAGCAAAGATGCTTAAAGGCTTTTAATT